TAGGGCACCAGAAGAGAGCTAGCTAGGGAGGATGTCGTTGGGCGTCGAGTGCGTTGACGGAGCGTCGTTCTCAGTCGAGTCGCGCGCGCCAAAGGCGGATATCGTGTTCGCGTTTCAAACAAACGGGAACAACGTTCCAACAGCCAAACCGCCTAATTCCCCAAGACATAAGAAAGCTATAATTTTAATATATTTTAGAATAATTTGCGCAATATGGGGGAATCTCCCGGTCACTACGCACTGACCGCAGAACCTCACGAACTCGACACGGCATAATTATGCCACGCTAATGATAGCACATTGTCCCGCCGATTATGTAATTCAGAATTGTAATTACCTGACGCGAACTGTGGAAAAGAAATTTTTCGTACCTGTCTTGACTGATGTTCTTATATTTGTCTGTGTTTCTGGCAAGATATTTGTGCCATAACTTTGTGTTTTGCACGATGGTAGGAGACAATTTTTCATTTTGAGTAGTTGTAGACACTGTGGGCTAATTACATTGGGTAAACTTTTGGTATTACACCCATCAGACGCCATCTGGACCTTACTTAAATAGATCGTCGTGATCTTCCTCGCGAACGAAACGACATAATGGTGTCTAGGTCGTTGTAGCTTCCCAGCTTACTGCGAAATGGTTGCACAGTCTCACACGACCTGATTGTGATTGGGAGCCGATTCCACTGTGAAGCATATCTGGTGAGAAAGATGTTAAACCACAAATTTGTCCTGCATCGTGGTAAAATTATGGAAATGTTTTGTTGTGCAAGTCCACCGTGGAACTGTGCTGCAGTGATAAAGTGAATAGATTGCGATAGGTATTGCCATAAATCAGAGTGTACAGCAGTATCAAGTTATGTTTTAGTCTTCACAGCCAAAGCGGATCAAGATCATGTTGCTACTAACGCTATCGATAGTTCTTAATAGAAGTTTTCCCAGTAATTGTTTGGTAAATGACCGTTTAAGGCTTTCTATCGACGTACTGTCTGCCTTTTTCATGTTGCTACAGATTATGCTGCAACACACCAGGATGGGGCGGGCAAAGATTTTAAGTAGTACAACTGTACCTGTGATTGTATGCATCTTATGAGATATCTTAGCCACGAATTGTCTGACTCGTGCGAACTGGTACTCATTGTGTTCATTAAAGTTGAAGGTACAAGAATATCCGATTCCGAGGTCGAGTGTAGACCGTTGTACACAGATGCGCTCGCTGTTCAGTGTGATAGATCCTTCGGGTATCAAAGAACCGCTACATATGATACTTAACTTTTATGCTGAGAACTTCATCATCCACTTGTCGCATCACGTCTCAAGCGAGTTAATGTCTTCACGGATTGGTAGTATTTATACCTACTGAAGATCAACTCGTCGGAACTTGTAGCCATTTTTATCTCACCAGCAAATAAATACGGCATGCCATTTTTGATAATCAGATTGATATATAGAAGGAGAAGTAGTGCACAGAGCATATTTCCTTACACGACTCCGCTGATACTTGAATGTGGGGAAGAGCGATGGTTGCTTATGGTGACTGTTTGAGAAAGATCGCTTAGGTATGAGGATAGCCAACCGAGGAACGGGTCTTAGACTCCAAATGAAACTAATTTATTAGTAACCGTTTATGAGGCACCCGATCAATTGCATTTTACATGTACAATAATAGACTTTATATCGCATATTTTGAGTCAATGGAGTCTGATGTTTAGTTCAAATAGTGCAACTGACACGTTGCGCACGGGCATTTGTCAAGGAATCCATGTTGTGGCTTGTCTATCTGCTCCAATGATTTGATAAAATTAATCACACACATTTTAACTAATTTTTCAAATAATATGGCGATTAAGCTGTGATGAATTGACCTATACTCGTCAGTTTTTCGTTTTGCGCCGCCCTTGTTACGTGGAATGATAAACAAACTTTTCCATTTATCTGGATAGCTGCTCAATCTTAATGAAATGGTAAACATTCAAAAGGAATGGTGGCGTATCAGGCTCTCCCAGTTTTATGGTGGATTGGGGGATGCCGGCAGATTCCAGAATGGAGGACGGCTGAATAGAATTACTTCCCTGATGGATATTAGGAAGAATGATATCAGTGCCTGATAGAGGCTTAGTCGTTCTCGCATCAATATACATATTTATAGGGTCAGTCTCCAAGTTCATGGAGGTGGCAAAAACCGAGCTAAATGCTTCGCAGATAGCGACTGGGTCTTGGAATGTGTGACCTTCCTCCTCGACCTGTTCAGTGATCGATGAAGAGCAGCTGTTGATTCTTGGACAGAGATTTTGACAAGATCTTTTGCTTTACATAACATTCGTAGGGATATTTGTTTTTCATGTGGTCTCAGCATCAACTGAGAGTGATTGACTTCAGAGATAAATCGGCATCTTTAGGAGCAGTGTGAAATCTCCTTTCTTCTTGTAGCGCGCGATAAGTTTTCTGGATTTCTGCCTGATTGCTCTTCCGGCCGCATGTTTTGTACATTAATGATGCGCTTTTCTTGTGGAGCAAGAAGGGTTGTGACTTGATTTACCTGATGATAGAAGGGGTCCACGGCTGTGCAGAATTGTTGGATAGGAAGAAGGTATCCAAATCAGCAGATCGGACTATTTGACGGAAATGTTCCAAGTTACTCCTATGGATTACGTAGTAGGAAGGAAGTACTTGTTTGGTGGCCATTTTTACGGTGAAGGCGAATCGTATCATTTTGTGATTGCTACGTGGGATGTTCTGTAAGACGTCTGTTTGTGCGTTGGCCGTACGGAGTGTAAATATCAAGTATAATGTGCGAAGTACTGCGCGCATCAGTATGTGCATTGTATTATAACGCGTTCCAGATATTTCGACTCCTAGTTGGAACGGACAAAACCTCTCCAGAGATAATATCCCGTGTACAGAGTAGCCAATTGAATTCGAATTAGCATAACTTAACTGACTTAGCCGATAGACTTTGTACCTAAGAGCTGAGACTGGAGACGAAAAGCGTAACCTCGCACGACTGCACCGAAACCCGGAAAAGAAAGGCTTGCTGATAACAGGAATTCGTTTACTGGCACAGCCTTCTACATCTTCATATTTATAGTGCAGCGGTATAGCAATGTATTACATAAGTTATAGAGAAAGGCGACTGTTGACAGTACACATGATTTGTGACGTATTGATAGTGTTTTAAGGAAAACTCCGTTTGGGCCATTGTAGCATGGAACGGTTGCCTCAGATCTTATTTGTCACCTACGCGGTTTGAGTCGTCCCATGGTGATAATGTTGCCAAGGGGAGCTCATGTGAAGACTGTGCAAGTTCCACAACACTTTACACCTACAAAGTGCTAGGTACTTTTGCATAGCTGGACCCATACGCCATTGCCTTTACCTACTACCTAGCAGCCTCTAGTAGTGGTGGACTAGTTTACTTATCTTGGAAGTTGTGTTACCTCTGAGGTTACTTCGCGTATCAGCATGGCCCATGTGGCTTTTACGAGGCTCAACGATTTATGAAGGTGACGAGCCATCGGCTTGTCAGCGAAATGCAAATGTTACTTTTGTGGATCAGCGATCCGACCACTTCGCAGTCAATGCGTTAAACCACTGGCCGTCTTTGGTCAACTGTGTATATAGAGTAATGCACACATCTAGTGAGAACACCGGATGAGCATTGCTGAGGTATGCCAGTTGGTTTTTGTTATGACTTTTTAGTGCCTCACTTAAATATCTGTTGGATTTGAGCCACACGTTGGCTACGCCATGTCCTCCGTATGCCCGTTGACCGGCTTCTTCGGCGCGAATTATATTACGTGGCTACACCAAGTTGGGCGAATCTGCGTGGCGGCCAGTCGAGGATGTGGTATAAGCTCATGAAGAAATTGGATGAGAGACTTGGTCAGGTTGGTGCGTGCCGTCTTCATGGATTTGAGCACCGGGAGAGTGCACATCTGTGTTGGAGACCCTGTCGAACATGGAGCACTCACGCAGTCAGTGGCGCTGATGCATTTGGGTTCTTGCATCTAGCTGTAACTTTTTTACATCCCGACTAGTTTTACGCATTTCTTTCTCGATTCCATTTTCTTCGTATTCTGTTTGCGTTCAACGTCATTTTCTTACCGTTGTTAAATATTATCAAGCTAGTGACGTATCTCATGGCAAGTGGGTCCACCGCACTCCAGCGCCCTGATTATACATTTTAGACGGAAACAAAAATGCCTTTGGATTACAATCCCTCATCCCGTTCGTCTTAACTCGTCATGATATATTTGCTATATTAAGATGGTGCGAAACGCTTTACACTAAGTGAGCATCTTTATTAAAAGCGATTTTGAACTCTCTAACCTGTGTAAGATACCCCTACTTCGGCTTATGTCTTCCGCAATACCATTTCTTTATACCTTAGGTACACGACCATCCTCCACGGAAGTTACCAAACGTCTGATTGCTTCACAAACCAAAAGATATTTTGCCTTTGTTACACAGTAGAAGTAATTACTATTATCAAGGTCCATTTATTAGGTGCCACTGTTTGACTGGACGGATGTGCTTCGCACTTCGCCTTGCCTTACCCTTAGCAACCAAACCAACGGTTACTTAAAGCGATGGAGACTATGAACGGAGCATCACACAACCTACAGTGACTTAATGGCCGAGTATACCGCCTTGCTGGTAGGCTGTCACACACAGTTATATACTTCTCTTATAAATAGGTAGGTGAATCTTTTGTCCAGTGTACCACTATCCTGCGACTGCACTTATGACTCAAATTTGAACTCAAAGTTGCGGGAGCCGGGTTTGCAATGATCGCAGTATTGCTTACTCGTTTGACCAGAAACAGCAAAAGCGTGGCGCTAAAGGTGCTGTAACGGTCACACTGTATTCCAACAACATTTTGACTTCGGTTACCAAACTGTTGTTATATTTACGAAAGTGACACGAACAATGTCTTCTATAGCGCGCTCTTGCTCTAGTCAACAGGTGTGGATTTATACAATCTACCTTTCGTCCAATACCTTATGAATTATATAATCATAGGTCTCACGGGACGCATTTGGAGCGCGATTCAAGAGAATGGTTTCTGCATAACTGCCGCCAGACTTTTTCGACTAACTAAGGTGGACGCAGCCGAGTTTTTGGAAGTCTACAAGGGGGTGGTGCACGAGTACCCCGAAATGCTGGACCAATTGGCTTCTGGCCCCTGTGTAGCCATGGAAATCGCTCGCAATGACGGCACTGAGGATGTTCAGCAGTCTTTTCGTGAATTCGTCGGACCAGCAGACCCCGTAAGTTGCGACACACATTTTTCTCGAATGCGCTTGAGATATTGTACAAAAGAAGCTGTACACCTAGAGAGGCTCGATTATGCCCAGTAGGTAGAGTTTAATGAAATGATTCCTTATCCAGAATCCGCACTTAGGACCCCTTGTCATTCTATAGTTATTATATTCCTATTTCTGTTGATTGTATTGTTGACTTATCCTTACTAAAAATCGAATACTTTTGATCTTTTCTCAGTTGTTCGTACTAAATTTGACACATTTGGTATTTGTCTTTGGCGAGAAATTAGACACGTTACAAACAAATTAACAGCTGAGCAAAGTAGTCCGAGCAGTTGTCCGTCCACATTTAGACACTAAACGAAATGACTCGTTAATCTGATAATACTGGTGTACAAGTGCTACATCGGCTCATCTTTCAAACACGGCCGAGTTTGAAGTAGTTACAGCTATTAATAGAGCAGCGTTCCAAGGCCAACATATATTCCTGACAAGGATTTGCAGTGACGGGTAAAATAACCGCCAGTACCGTGCGCCACATCCCTGTGGCATGGAAGACGACACAAACCTAGCACATTACGGTTAGCGTTTACTGTGGAAGCGCCCCTACAATGAGTTTGGAAAAGTGATGGAACAAATCGCTCAAACTCTCAATGCAGACGGCAGAAATGCTGATAACCTCATGTTGGTATCCGAATTTACCCCGTGTAAGTGCTCCGGTGTCGCCTCTATGCTTAGTGTGACGCGGAATTTTCTTCCCGAGTTAGGGTTCGCAGGCACTGTAACGACCCAATTGAAGTAGAGCATGGTCTTAACGGAGCTCTGGTAAACTCAGTCAAGTTATCTTGAGCGGATGACATTAGGTCCACGAAGTCTTGAAATCACCACTTCGGAGCAAAACACTTACAGTGAAATTGAAATCGGGGTAGCGATGAAAAATGCTTTATTCATAAACAATAGGACCAACTGCATCGTACTTAAATTTGAGTTGCTAATTCATTGTAGCTAATTTCACACGGTAGTCCTCGCTGTTCTTCCTTTATCGTCTACTTGAGTTTATTAACCTGCGAACGCTGCGGTCGGTCCAGCCAACCCCTGCTTTGTTCGGGAACTCGTTGTGCTTTGTTCAGAATAAGTCAAATCAAATTTGCGCTGCCTCTCGGAGAGTGGAATTTTAACTAGCTTGTTGTGGCGGCTCTTGCTTAGCTACCCCTTCACCCAAAAAACCAACTTCTATCACAAGGGAAGCTATACTAATGATTTTTGAATACTCAGTAGCTATCGGGACGGGGAGGAACCTCCGATTCAAGATTTTGGATAATAAAGTGAGACCACTATGAGCAGCACGGTAAAATGCTGTTTAAAAATTCAGGTATGTGATGCCAATTCCGCCTCAAAGCCGGTGAGTTTTGTCCAGCTTCCATGGATTGCCAGAAGATTTGTATTATTTGGCGGACATCATCGACCTGGACTATTCTAAAGCTTTCGACCGTATGGATCACCGCATCTAACCTCACACATTAACAAGCTATGGAATCGGGGGTCCTGGCCTTAGGTAGACCAGCTTTATTTGCCAACGTAAGCTGCAAGTGTATGCTAGGGGATCACTCTCTAACCCATTTTAGATGGAAAGCGATGTTCCACGGAGCTCATTGCTGCGACGACGCTTATTCTTGATGTTTACGAACGGCTTGGCAAAAGTTATTGCCGCAAGTTTTATACCCAACTTCCATTCAGTTGACACGGAATTACCAGCTCCATACAGTGCATCGCCAAACATAGGAATTATTCCATCGCCTTCTCACCTAAATCGTCTTAACGGTTCTGGAGGAGTTTTGTCAACTAGCCGACCGCATTGGCTGACCAATTTTATCGGTCAACGGCGATCCATCTACCCTTCTGTCGTGTCAACCGCGTTGACCTATCGCGAGCGGCGCTCCGGTCAGTAAACAGGATTACAACTCACACCGGCAGTCATCTGACCTTGCGGCGTTTGGATCGGCGTGTAAACTGAAACCAGCGTGCGGTGCGTCTGTTTCCAGTTCGGGCAGAATTCTTTGTCGCATCCCTCTCGCTCCCCAGCGCAGTGTGTGATCAAGTAGCGAGGTGTCCTCCTCCATGCATCTGACTAGAGTGCGCAGCAGGCCAGGCGGAAAAGTACTCAACGTCAACTAAGTTACCATGTTAGGTTGTAACACTATGACGAGTAGCGGACAGGAAGCAGCTGCGAGTCCAAAAAGGTGCTCCAGTCGAAGGGAAAATGCGGGTCCGCAGAGCGTAACCGATTATTCAAATTTGGTTTACCTTGCTCACACCGTTTTAAATGGTACCATCTAAAATGTGCAACTCTTTCCCAACAATCCGCGAGAGATCAAAACAGATCCTAGAACGATCTCTGGTTTTGTACTGCGTGTTCGACAATCCCACTAGTCAAATGCACACCCCTACTAAGCTAAAAGTGCGACCGGTTAGCAAAAGCAGCTGAACAACGAACGAACGCTACGATTATCTCACTGGGAGCATGCACCAAGATAACATAGTGGCTTCAAAACGAAGCAATAGTGCAAAATTCGCTTCGCTCGAATCACGATTGGTAAGGTCCTCATTGCCGTTATCTTCACTATTAGAAGAACGCCAGGTGATAACAGACCGTAACTCTGACAGCCAAATGGTACTCAGGACCACGAAAATAAGGCACCAATCGAAACGGGTGCTCGATCAAATTCGACCGGTCTTGACAACTTGTATAATTAACATTGATGGGACAACCGAACCCGAGTCTATTGCATCTGGAAAGGAAGGGTCTCTGGTCAGGTTCAATTCCCCCTTTACTCCAGGCACATATGCAGAGATCGCTTCAAAAGTCCATCGGGATGCTACATTTAGTGTCTCCCATGTTGCAAACACCGCTAACGCCAGTAGAGCAACAAACAATAGACCATCATCACTTGGCATAAAGCCAGGCCCAACGATCACCCGACCTTACAGTTCAACAAAATAGGACTCCAGTCATAACTCCCTGACTGTCGTGTGCACCATTGTCCCCGAATCTACTTCCGTCACATTACGGCGTGTTATCTGATGACCAAGACCAATGAAAATCACTGTGCATTTTGATGAACGTAAAAACCAAACCCACAAACCTAGTGAGAGTTACATATCACCCAAACTATGCATACTATGGCGAACCCAGAATAATTAGAGTAACACTGGAATCAGCCATTGCGGTAGAAAACGCTTTGATCTCTGCAAGTACGTTACAACATAGGCGTTGCAAGGTACACGTCTATCTTGAGCTCCCTTGGAGCATGCGTCAACCGATAAGGAATATCTCGAATGGGCATCGCAAGCTGAATTGTCTAAGCACAATCCTCAGTTTTGGCTTGCCAGAACTTCCTTCGCAGGGTAGTTATGACACCGGTAATCACAATTTGGAACTAGCGGTTCATTCGTGAAGCACTTACCTTGGACAACTTTGTGATGCAATCGCTCACAAGGCTACTTCTCTCAGCAACTTATAAAGTAAGCAGACGAAGATTTCTAAAACTCATGGTACAGCCAGAGCAGACAGCGACGGAAGTGTTTGAACATTGGCGGGAACATCGTAAAAACCTTCCATCTGAACTTCTGTTAAAAGCTGCTGAAGCCTTGCAAAGACCTGACATGAACCTACTTGATGAAACAAACCTACCAGCAATAACACAGGTGCATCACTTTGCCGCTCACTCACGCGATTATACAGTATGTCCGGACGAGGAATGGGACGTATCTTGACCAAATCAGTTTACGAACGACGTGTCATCATCATCCCTTTAAAAATACGAATAACGACTGGCCTCACATCGGTCGGCACTCTACCACACTTGACTCCTTTGGCTCCCTTTGGGGTCCTAGATACCGAGAAACTATCCTGCCTTTATACAAATGCTCAAGGTCTTTTCAATAAGCTGGCCGAATTGAAAGATCGCCAAATTTCGAAGCCATGCAATATCATCAGTATCACGGAACCGTGGTTGCACAGTGGAATGACAGACGCTGAAGTTTAGCTGCCAGACATGTCACTCATACGAAACGACAGGCTTACGAAAGAAGGAGAGGTAATTCTTTATTACTACAGTGACCTACAGTGCGAGGCCGTTGAAGCTTCAGACTTACAGCTCTCCGATACTCTTTGGTGCCGCCTGCATTTACCAGACAGCAACATCTGCCTTATAGCTTTTGTGTACCGACCAACAAACTCTACACCGTAAATGGACTGCCACCTTGCGACAGCTTTAAGATGCAGTCTAAAGCGAAGGTACACTCACATCCTTATCACGGGTGATTTCAACGTACACTGTTTAGAAACCCCTGCTACGATCAGAGAACCATTCACAGCAGGTTTGCAAGAGCTTATAACCAGCGTTCCACTTTACAATCACGTCATTATGCCCACTCGTTTCATAACAGTAATAGGTTACCTTTACCAACGAGGTACATATGATTGATGTGTTGATTGTAGAATTCCCTTTGGGTCGCCGTGATCATGCAGTCGTCAGGTTCGGCTTCATCTGCGATGAGGAATATCGCCACCAGAACACAGATGGTGTGCACCATTTCGCGCTACGACCGTTTAGACCAACTCGTCTGTGCAACAACCTGGTCTTTCCTCGCTGAAGGCCCCCGGGAGTCGGTTGGCTTGATTTCGTCAGCAAATTCAATTAACTGGTTACGGATGCCTCAGAGACGAAAGCTTTCATTGGCCCTGAAACCATTTCTTTCATGAGCAGCATAACTAAAAAGTGCATGACTGTACGCAACACAGCCTGATGAGAGTGAAGTTCATCACCAACGCCAGATAATTGGGACAGATACGTAACCCTTCCTAATCACTGTACTCAAGTGCTCAGAGCTAACAAAGTCGTATATCAGCAGGATATGGCGAAAACGTTCAACGCTAACCTCAAACTACTGTACATGCTAATGGGCGTTGTAAGGTGAGGCAGGGTATTCCGCCGCTCCGGACG